TGTAGACCCTTCCCTAAAATACAGAAAAATAAAAAGTGAAATGTGACTTGGAATAAGGAATTTAGTATTTAATCTTAAGTATTTGAATATAGTACTTTTCTTATCTTTTTATAATTGCAGGCTGACAGGTTTTACATTGTTCCACCTAATTTTTAATTTTTTCTTTTCAGGGAAATACATGCAGATGATGAACATTCTTAAGCCAATTGCCTTTGATGTTATCCATTTCATGTCTCAGCTATTTGATTATTACTTGTATGCGATATATACCTTTTTTGGTCGGAATGATTCAGTAAGTCAACCATTGGAAGAAAAATCTGTCTTTTAAAATTATTGATTTTTTAAAAATGTGAAGTAAAAATTCTTCATTATTTCTGTATCAGATACATCAAAAACACATATATTTTAAAAATTGAATATATATAGTGTTTCTGTCTACCTAACTGGCTTATTTTATATTATAAGCTTTGATAGGATAAGCATATTATGCATTATTTAAATTTTTGACAGAAAGTTTTAGTGTAATATCTATTCCTAACCTTGATATAGTTTGGTAATGAAAAATATATACATTACTTTCTTTAAATCTAGACTTGTGTATAATTACTACATAGTAAATGGGAGCTTTTGAGTATTAGCTAACAACCTGTGTGATGACTAAAGTATTCAGAAGAAAATGAGAAATATTTATGAAAATGATTGAATATTATTAACTGAACTATTTGCCTGCTGTAGAATTAATACTACCTGTACCTCCTTTTTGCATTTACAAAAGTTTTATTGAGTTTATATTTTTTTTAGTCCTACTGGAAAGGAACATCTCATATTTGGAAATTATTATGTGGCTTCCCTAAATGTTTGACCATTTTCTGTGTAAGAGCACACAGCCTGGTCAGTGGACAAAACATTACACTAACTTTCTTAATACTGTATTTTGTTTTTAAAAACATGTGTTTTGATGTATAATAAGTACATGTATCATATGACTATTCACATCTGTAGTATTAGGAAACACTAAGACTTTCATCACTGAATATTGTATTAGCTATCTTATGGAGGCCTATAATCAGATTGGCAAATTTCTCTTCTAGTAATTTTCAGTTTTTAAATCATAAAAGAATATTATCAAATATACTGTCAAAATTGTTTAATCTATTTAAATGAGCATAGAATTTTTTCTTCTAAAGAAGAATATTACTTGTTAAATTACAGTAATTTTTTTTTTTTGCGGAACCAGGGATTGAACTCAGGTCCTTGAGCTTGCCAGGCAAGTGCTTATTCCACTGAGCTATCTCCCCGGTCCCCCAAAATAACACTAATTTTAAAAGAGAATTTCTTCTAACTCAGTTTTATAGCTCAAAATAAGTAGTACTTGAATGAGAATCCATTTGCTAACACCTTAGAGATATCTGCAAGTCTGTCACCATGAGGGACAGTGGTCTCTCTT